AGGCCCTCGATCATCCTGTCAATGCATCCCGTGATGATGTGGCCCCGCTCAACCAAGGCCTGATGGGAGAAGGCATAGGCAAGCGTCCGCTTCTGCGGCCGGTGCTCGTCGCCGTCCGAATCAATCAGCGCCTTGTGTTCGGCAAAGACAGCTGAGTATAAAATGGGGTCCTTGTTGAAGAGCGTGGTCTCGCCATTGGCCTGCTTGTTACGCCCGTAGATGTCCCTAAAGGCTTCGGCACAGTTGTATGTCAACTCATCGGGCGCAATTCGTACCACGGGCCCATACTTGGCGTGCAGACGCTTCAGATCGTAGGGTATTTGGCCTTGGGTGTAGCGGATGACATAGGGAAACCTCGAGGCTCGCCACAGGAGAGGTCCCGGGTAGGAGCGAAGGGGGTGGAAGAAGAGGTTGTAAGTCGCCTTGAATATGACGGCCAAAACGATGAGTGCTGCTGTCCAGACTGACAAGGGCAGCGACGCCAGCCGCTCACTCGGAAGCCCGAGGACTGTCATGGTGAATTAAGTTGTCGATGTCTGGACAACCTTCGAGATGCCCGTCGACCTGGTTGAAACTACAGATAATGGCAGAGTAGAAGGCATTGTTTAATAAACCACGGCCTGCAATTGGTGTCAATCGCCCCCTTCTCTTCCAAAAGCACTCACCGAACCAGCACGGTTCGCGAGTCACGCGTTCACGAGTCACGACGGTATTGCCGGTGGAAACGGTCAATCTCGGGCGTTCCGAAGCATTGCCGTCGTGTTAATTTTCGCTTTGGCGAACCCTTCAAGACGGTATGACTCGGGGTTCAATCAGGCTTGCTTATCTCTGAAGCATGAACTCCAGGGGTCTGTCGATCGAAACCGATATGTCTTCAAGAGACTTAGAAACCACGATGTCTCCTCCTTCGCAATCAGGAGAGGTTATCAGTGTCTTGTTGACCTCGTCTCACGCCTCTCTGCAGACCTCTGTGTCTTTTCAGTATTGAGTATACTACTGTCCTGTTGACCTGTTGGGTTATATCCATTGGGGTTGCGTGGTTCTTTTCCATTTCGGTACCTTTCTGTATCATATTGTACCTCAGCCTTCTCCTCCACCCGTCAACTTTGTCATTTTTCGTGGTATGCGCCTCGCGACAATTTGCCTCTCCCCGCCATGGCCTCAACAATCATGAACTACCAAGACTGCGGTCCGATGCGGTACAAGTCCTCGGTTCCGGTACCTGCATCTTTGTATGAGAACACTGCCTACCCCTCCAAATTCCGTCCGAGAATCAGCAAACACGTGGACGTGGCCGACAAGGCGTGCTGGGAGGCGTGTGACGACTTTGAAAACGCGACTGGCTTGAAGTTGAAGGCCGACAGCGTTGGATGCATCAACCCCATCGGCGGGAATGTCAACGCTTTGTGGTTTCCAGAGGCCATACCGGAGCGACTCCATATCATTTCCTACCTGTCTGAACTTCTCTTTCGGCACGACGGTCAGTATTTATGATCCTGATCTCTCCGACGTCTGCTAACTTCTTGTGCATGCAGACCTTACCGACGATGCTGTAACACCAGAACAGGTACGTCAAGAATGACAACTCACTAAATGCCTTCCTCGTGGTCCGAATGCTAACATGTCTGTTTATTTCAGTTCGATGAGGTCCACGGACCATTGGCGCGATTCCTTGGTTCTGAGTTGAAGCAAAGCGATCACACCACCAAGCACAACGCAATGAACACGATGCAGGCACGCGTCGCCATCGAGGCGCTCGAACAGAACGAACAGCTGGGAAAGCTCGTCATCGAGAAGTGGAAGGGCATCGTGAGTGTTCGCGGACAGGACGCCTTCATGGAGCACAAGACACTGGACTCGTACATGCACGTGCGGCACTACGACGCCGGAGCCTACTCGGTTTGGTCGCAAATCCTATTTTGCTGCGATATTAGCCTCACCGACGAGGAGCTTACAGGTCTGGAGCCCCTCACCTGGCTGGCCTTCACGCAGATGATCCTGTGGCATGATTACTGCTCGTGGGATAAAGAAGCAGCCACGTACCTGGAGCGCGAAGAAGGCGGATCCAACATGAGCGCCGTGCAGGTCTACATGGCCATGTACGATCTCGACCAGCATGCCGCCAAGGACTTTCTGCTGTCCGAGATCACGAGAATTGAGGACGAGTACTGCGAGAGGAAGGCGAACTACATGATGGAGTGCTCGCCAGCACCTCACATCACACACTACATCGGTCTCATTGAGATGTGCATGGCCGGGAACACGTTGTGGCACCTGTCCTCGCGCCGATATGACCCGAAGGCTCCCCTTCCCAGACGAGAAGACATTGGCAAGGTGAACGGAGACCTGCTTGATGTTTCCGAGGTCAGCAAGCCTGTAGATGGCACAGAGTCGGACGACATTATTCTCACTCCGGTCTCAAGCTGTCTCGGCACGAAAAGACTCAGGCCATTCTGGAATAACCAGAGGACCGAGTATACCACCATGACGCCCGCCGAGACCAGTTCAGATGACAAGAAGAAGAAGGCCAAGGCATCACACGAGACACGGGCTGATCTACTGACCGTCTCGCCCTGCGCTTGGCCTGCCGAGCCAGACGAGAAGGACATTTTGGCGGCTTACCTCTACACGGCGGCAAGGCCTGCAAGCGGCGCCCGCGACAAGCTGATGGACGCGCTTGACAATTGGTACCGCGTTCCTCCTGACGCCCTGGCCACAATCCGCACCATTATCCGAATCATGCACAACGCCAGTCTAATGCTCGACGACGTCCAAGACAATTCGCCCGTGAGGAGGGGCAGTCCGAGTGCGCATGTCGTCTTTGGCGCGGCCCAAACCACAAATTCGGCGAGCTATTTCATGATCAAGTGCGTGGAGCTGGCACGGCCGCTGGGCGACGAGGCCTTGTCGTGCCTCTTGTCCGAACTCGGCCAGCTGCACCTCGGCCAAAGCCACGACTTAGCATGGACTTTCCATTGCAAGGCGCCCACAGTATCCGAGTACTACAGCCATCTCGAGCAAAAGACCGGTGGGCTCTTTCGCATGGCCTCCCGCATGATGCGCGCTTCAGCGACCCAGAACAAGCATCTCGACGCCTGCAAACTGATGAGCCTTCTCGGCAGGCTCTACCAGCTGCGGGACGACTACCAGGATATCACGTCGGAATGCCTCTCGACATACGACGATCTAGATGAGGGGAGCTTCACTCTGCCACTGATCCACGCCCTTCACCGCGAGGAGGAACAAGGTGACGTCCAGCTGCACAGCATTCTTCAAAGCGCACGGGCATCGCGTTCTGCCTCGGCATCTTCGAACAATGATGGAAAATTGTTGGTTGAGACGAAAATGCTGATTCGCGAGATGCTGGAGGAGGCAGGCAGCTTGGAGCATACAAGGGTAGTAATTCGAGACTTGTATGACGAGACGAGAGCCGTGTTGACCGCGATGGAGAACGAAACTGGGTCGGGGGGCAAGAATTGGATGTTACGATTGATTACTTTCCAGTTGAAAGTATGAGACAGAAACAGTAGTTAGCACTTTAGTTAGCGGGTCTTGAAATTCAGCGCCGTCGTCTTTACATACATGTGGAATTCCGAGGTTCAATATGTCCGTGACCAAACCCGTCATGCCGAATTCGGTGAAGAGTATGGAAGAAGAAAATCATATGAAGAAGAGACATGAATGCTACCACACACATGGTGGACAAATAGAACACAACGACGGTTTGTTTGCGCTTTGTTGCCAAGAAACAGGGATTCAAAAGTAGACCCCCTACCGTCTACGCGTACATGTAGGGGGCGAGATATCAGTCTCTTATCATTGAACAATATGTGAGGCAACAAACGGATTGGCTCTCCCGTATCGCATCGGGTCAAATGCTCCAAAACTGCACAAGCAGCCTGGCGACAAAAAGACTACTCGAGGTCATGAACCAGGGCATTTTAGAGCTGGCGGGCACGTGTAAGATTGCTTGAGTTTCTTGACGCCGCACAATTCAATGTGCATGTGGAACGTCACTCCGAAAAGTTATAGCCAAGGTGTATTGTCTTACCGAAAATGAAGGCGCTTGCAGCAATACAGATAACCCCAATATTATCCCATAATCCTTCAGTTCCGAGTGTACTTGGCATGTTAGATTATCAGATGACACTCCATGTGGCCACTTCGGACTCGAAGGCCAGTCGGGGTCAGATGGGCCACACACATACACAGAATTCTCCTCGTAAAACAAGGCTGGGGAGCGTTGAAGTACATATTAGGTTGTCAAGACCCGCAGTGTCAGACGTCAATCTATGTCACATTCGAGGAGCCTCACCACCCCCTAACAAAACAAAAGGATGTGGAATTCAGCCTGGATCCTCCATCATCCCAACCTCAACCAACAAGAGTATGACAGTGGCGGCTGCCTAGGACGCCACAACCCCCACGCATACCTAGCGCCCGCTGCCTGCGCTAAAAGCTGACCGCTTGCTACATTTCCTTTTCCATGGTCCGAGCCGAGGCGCTAGGTTATCAATTCAGCGTGATTCTGGCGTCGTACTGGTCGACGTTACGGCTTGCACAAACTGGACATGCTCTCTTTCAGCGTTGAGCGGCACAGAAGAAGCAATATTGTCGCATTCTGGCACGCGACAGCAGATAGAACGTGTGAGAATGCGGCCAATCACCACCGCACTGGCGTCGTATGCTGTTCGCCGCAGGGCTGACATGCGAGGTTGGGCAAGTTGGCGGCCGCCCCGCCATTCCTTGTGTTCTGTACTACTTCCGTCGCCTTTTCTATGTGACCGGTCGCTCTTTTCCGTCGCAATAGGACCTTCCAACTTCACTCTTTCCTCTTCGATTCTCTTTAGCGCATGAAGCTGCCGCAGAGTGCGCGATCAACATGTCACGGGGTACATCGTCCGGGGGCCTTCGTTCTTCGACAACGTGGGCATTTTTTGTTGTTTTTGCGCTCATTCTTCTCACCAGAAACGTCGCATACGCCGAAATCTGTAACTACGATGGCGGTTGGTCGATGCGGCGCGAGTCTAGCTGTACGACTATTGCATCAAAACGTTGCAATTCGACTTGGGACGGTTCGCAAGTTTTGTGTTGTCCTGATCGTTACGTCTGCAGTGGAGAAGATGATTTTCAGAATCAATACTGCTGCAAAGGTTAGTAAGATTCCAAATGGCGCTTAAACTTTTCAATATCCTTCTCTAATAAGCACCCAATGGGGTTTGCTAATCACTTACTCCGGAATAGACAAAAATAGTTGCATGAATCAGGCAATCAACGATCCAAAGGTATAGCTTCTTGAGAGCACTTACCCAAATTTTCGGAAACCGAGCTTAATACATACAAATTAGTGTCCAGATCCATCTATGAGCCTATGGGGAACCAATGACAGAGACGATGGCCTTTGGTGCTGTGCCTCTGAAGATGTGGGTGTTTACAAGAATACCGGGCAAGTAGATGGGCTGGTGTTTCTATGTACGGGAACTGAGGTGACTACTCTGGCCACGACACTTTCCTCGGCCACTCTTTTGTCTCAGTGCTCGATGACTAGCACGCCTACGAGCATCTCTGCCAGCACCTCTACTACCGCATCCACCAGCGCGAACGCCTCTGGCGAGGAAGATTCACCGGCGGGTGTTCCTGCAGGAGCTATAGCTGGCGGTGTTGTTGGCGGTGTCGCCGGAATCGCACTTGTGGTTGCCGGGATATATTTCTTGAAGAAGAAGAAGAAAAGTGACCCGGAAGAGCAGCCTTCAACAGAAGTTCCTGTCCAAGAAGGACAACAGTGGTCTCAACAGCGTTGGCCTAACTCTCAAAGGAGGCGACCCAGTGAGCTGGAAACAGTGGAGCCGCGGCTTGAGATGAATGGCGTGAAGCCGACCTACGAGCTTGACGCAACTGAGGAGCAAGCAAGGGAGAGGGATGTTTCTCCATTGAGTCCACCGAGGTGAAGCGACGAAGGGAGGAGTCTTTGTGTTCCACTCAAATGTGGCATCTGTGGAAGAGTTACCGGAGGTTTGGGCTTTCTCCTTTCGAACACGATACAGTCTCGCTGAGCTAGGGACCACGCAACAAGGGCAGTTTTATTAACATTCAGGCTATGTTGCTGAGGATGTTTCAAGGCTACAAGTGGAAAGCGCCGCAGGCATGACGTGTAGATATGTTGATTTACGTAGGCGATAGAGAGTGACGATTGCTATGTGTCCCCCGTGAGCCCAGAAAAGAAGAATGCTAACATGACTAGCTACTAACGTGAAGGCAACATTTCCCGAGGCCACCATACTGGTGGCAACTTCAATAACCCCAAAGATCTAGGTTCTTCTCAAGGTTGTTCCTGGCCTCGCACTTGATCATCTCGATACGCTCAGGGGTAGCCTTGGCCCTCCATCGTTCGAGGAAGAACATGGGAGGGCTAATGTTTTGAATAAACCAATACACAGCAGACAGATCATCAATGCCTTGGATATTAGCTGGTCGCTGCACGCCAGCTTTGGAAAACTCTTCGTCGCTCATGATGGCGGTCATCCAGTCTATGGATTCGGATTTCCGCTGCGCGTCCTCCTTGGCAAAACCTGTTAAAAGACAGCCTCGGAGATGTTCTTCTTCCGGATCGCCAGTGAAAGGGGGAATCATGAGTCCGTGAATACTAAGGAATGAGTAGAAGTATTCATCTGCCTGTGAGCCGATGTGGCCAAAGTCGTAGTCCAGCAAAGCAGTCAGCTTGTTTGTGGCCTCGTCGAATAAGATGTTGTTTCCGTCTAAATTCAAATAATCAGTACACTAATCAAGCCACTCCAACCAAACGGATAGGAGTTCCCCTACCGAAGTCGCCATGCACCAAGGTAGGCCGTGCTTCCACTCTACTAACAAGAGATTTCAGACCCTTGGCCCCAAACTCAGCGCTGCACCCAAACTAAGTCTATTCAAATAAGTTAATCAAATAGCTAATTAAATTAAGGCTATTCAGAGATTTAAATAGCTAAGTCGCTATTACTATTAACTTAGTTAATTTAAATAAGTTAGAGGTTAACTAGAAAAAGGGAAAGTTTAGTCTCTAGATTAATTATAATTTTTAAAAGATTTTTTAAAAAATAAAAAAAGCCTACCTAGATATTTTAATACTTAGCTTTATTCTAATTACTTAAAGTTATAACCCTTATAACTTTTATACTTAAAGTAAATAACCTAAGCTAGTTTTAAATTAATATCTCTATAATTACCTATATAGTAGACTTACTACTAGCCTATTAGGTCTTATTATAATATATCTCTAAAAAAAAAAGAGTAAGTAGTTATAGATATTAGTTTAGTAATACCTTTAGGTTAATAAGTAGTAAAGTAGGGCTTAGTACTTCTTAGTAGTAGGGTTAGTACTACTAAGAAGTATTAGAAGTATTAGAAATATGCTTTTTACTATACTACTAGATTAATATATTTTTAGTCCTCTTACTAAAGCTTAAAAAAAGCCTATTTTTAACCTTTATACTAGCCCTTAAAAATAACCTTTTTTTAATATTACTACTAATACTACTACTATTACTACTACTATTACTACTAATTAATCTCTTAAAGCTTTACTTATTTATACGCTCTTTTAATACCTCTATTAACACTTTACCTACTTTTATAATACCTCTACTTAATATTAGCTAATATCTTAATTATTTTATTAGTATTACTCTATTACTAGTACTTTATAATATTACTACTTAACTATATATTACTTTAACTATTAGTAATATATTAAGTACTAACTTAAGTATAAGAGACTTTCTATAGGCCTTACTTTAAGCTAAGTAGAAGAATAGGACCTTCTTTAATACTAAGTTAATCTTAAAGAAAGGGTCTTATAGCTATACCTCTTAGATTAGAAATAAAGGTTTCTTTATTTATAAGCTTTTACTTAATAACTAACTTAATATATTACTTATAATACTTACTTATTTTTATACTAATACTCTATAAAGGTAATATATATTAGGTCTACTACTATTACAATAAAGCTAGTAGTATTAATAAGCCTTTTAATACCTCTATTATAACTACTACTATTAACTATCTTAAGATAATATACTATATTAAGTAGGGAAGTTTTAAAGTTAGAGGTAATTTTAACGATATAAGCTTACCTCTAAAGCGCTACTACTCTACTATAATTACTATACCTAAGTTAAAAGTCTATTAGATTAAAAAGCTTACTATAAGCTACCTTATTAATATAAATAACCTATTTATAATATTTATGTTATAGTTAGCTATCTAATAGTAAGGTCTGCTAACAGAAGCTAGGGATTAACACATTATAATAGTATACTAAGGTTATAGACTTAGGTTATAGGTTATAAGCTAATAGTAGATTAGGTCTTTAGAAGCTAAGGTAATTAGTTTTAGACTTAATAAGTAATTCGTAGTAAAAGTAAGCTAAGAGTATCTATAAGGATAAATACTAAGTTAATTACTAAAGAGCTATAGAAGTCTAACTATAAACTAGGCTTAAGGTTATACTATATATAAATCCTAAATAGTATTCTTTATTTACTTAAAAGTGATTACCTAGGTATATAAAGTGATTATAATTAGTTAGTATAGCTAACTAATTACTAAGTGTTCCTTCCTATATTTTACTAATTATTTCCTTATCTTATTATTATATAACTTATACTATAGTTCTTTTATACTAAGTAAATCCCTACTATTCCTATAATCCTATAATATAAATATCTTATCTTAGCTACTTAATACTTAAATAGGTTAGTTAACTATTATCTATATATAATAGGTTATAATATTAAGTCCTCTCTCTAAAGGTTTTATCCTTAAGACCTAATATAAGTAGGTTATTAGTTCTAAGTTAGGGATCTATTAATTATTCTTCCTATTTTACTTATAATACTAATACTATATTAAGTTATATTTAGAAATTAAAATTAAATACTACCTCTACTTTTTATTATTATAACTATACTTTATATATTACTAAGTTTAGTTTAGTTATTAATATACTTTATTCCTACTATTATTCTTTAGGGAAGTATTATAAGCTTCTCTTTAGTAATAAAGTTTATAGTAAGTATACTTATTTAGGGTAGTTTTATAACGTAGTAGTAGATACTATTTATACTTATAAGTTTCTTTTTATTATTTTTTTTTTTTTTTTTTTTTTTTTTTTTTTTTTTTTTTTTGCCTAATACTAACTTATCCTAGTTAATTATTTATTAGATAAAGCTACTTGTTTAGAGGATACTAAGGTAGCTAAAGAGGAGGTATTAAGAAAGAAAGTAGCTACTCTATATACTATATAGGCTAAGTTAGATAAGTTTATAGTATAGTTAGATTATTTATATAAATAAAAAAAGATAGTGTTTTAAAAAGGTTAAGAGGTTATAGAAGAGGAGCTAGTAATATCTCTTATATTAGAGGTTTAGTTTATAAGTAGTTTTAGCGTTTTAGATTTAGATTTAATTCTTAACTAAAATCTTAGTACTCTAAATTTCTTATTAAGGGAGTCTTAGTTATATTTTAGTATTCCTAATTAAATAAATAATTTTCCTAGTTATATTAGCTAAAGGTATCTTAATTATAACTATAGAAATAGAAGTTATATTCTTTATTCTTTAGCTTCTCTTTATTTCTATTATAGTTCTTCTTATATTTATCTTTCTCTTTTATTAGTATGTTTTATATATTCCTTAAATTCTTCTAAGGTTATAAATAAGCTAAGTCTATCCTTAGGATTAATATAATTAAGTGTTCTAATATACTTATTAATCTTATCTTAATAGTTAAGTAGGTTATTATTAGGTTCCTATATATTATCTTTATATTTATAGTTTTTCTATTTAATAAAGTATTTCTATTTATTATCTTTATACTAATAGTTAAGTAGCTTTTCTATTTTATACTTTAGTTTATTATCTTCTATAATAATAAGGTTATTTATTTATAATCTTTATAGTACTAGCTTAAGGAGTAAAATATAGAATACTAAGTAATATTTTATAGTTTCTAGGAATTTAAGCTTATAGTTAACTAGTAAGATAACTTATAAGATTTTAAAAAGTTTAAGTTTTTTAAAGTTAAGTTTATTACTTAGTTATTTTATTTTAATATTTTACTATATAAGATAGGTACTATCTCCCTCTTTTAAAGTTAATCCCTTAATCTTTTATTTATTACTAAATTTTAATATTTATTATTAAATAAATTTAAGTTTTTTATATATATTATCTTAGATATCTTTAATTTATTATACTAAGGTAGTAGCTTTAATTATAGTTAGGCCTATTTAGGGTTCTCTATAAGTAGTTAGTTTAAAGTTATAGTTAAGGTAGAAGGGGGATTTCTTAGTACTTTCTCTAATTATACTATTATAAGTAAACTAAGCGATTAGTAAAAGTATAACCTAGTTATCTTAATTATAGTTAATATAGGTATAGAGGTAGGTTTTAAGGATTTAGTTAATTTATTCTATTTATCTATTAGTCTATAGGTAGAACGTAGTAGATATAGATTACTTAATACTAAGTTATACTATAATTAACTTTTAAAATTTAGAGGTAAAGATTTTATCTCTATCTAATATAATTTCTTTAAGTATACTATAATTAGTAATAATATACTTAAGGAAAGTATATATATATTCTTTAGTATTACTTATTTCTTTATATAGGATAAAGTAGGTATACTTTATAAGTTAGTCTACTATAATAAGAATACTATTAAAGTATACTTCTATAAGGGGTTTTTATAACTTTAGTAGTTTAATAATAAAGTTAAGGGATATAGATTACTAAGCGATTTATAGTATAAGTAAAGGTTATAATATATTATAAGGTTAATATTAAGTAGGTTTATTTTTTAGGTATACCTTATAATCCTTAATTACTTTTACTATATATTCTCTTATAACCTTTTCTCTATACTATTATTATAGTTATTTTTAGGTCTTTAT